GGCTGATGAGATTCCTGCCATTTCCCCTACCTCAGCTACACTGGGTATTATGGCTTGACTGGTATTGAGAATATATCAGTATAACACTGACAGTTTGGTAACTGCTGAGAAATCAGAAGGCATTAACAGGAGGTGCAGGAGGCAGGAATGTTGCTAAATTAAAATTCAAATGCAAGTAATACTTGCAACAACTTGTGGTAAAACTGCTAGTGCATTGCTATTTATGTATTCATGCAGATGTGACAGGAAATTGATGTATTAACACATGGAGATGTTGTAAAACTAATTTTGACCTAGGAAAAGGATGAATATTTATCTGCTTAAGTGAAGGTTAACATACTTGAATAAAAGAAAGAAAGGAAGGATTATATCACATCACTGTAACTCTTCCTACTATTACTAGATTTCTTGACATTACCATTGGCAGGACAGAGAAGACACTAAAATCTGTTCAGAAAGCAGAAGCTTTACCTGAAGATAGCAAAAGTAACGTGACTATAATTCACAGGGCTGGACAAATACGGTCAAGGGCACCCACCTGACTTGAGCAATACAAAATGCTCAGAGTTATTGAAAAACACGTGCCTTGAAAATCAAATTACCATTGGTAGGACAGAGAAGACACTAAAAATCTCTGCACCAGCCCTGAGAGGGGAGGGACTCCCTGCACACTGCCATGCTGTCACTCTCCCTTGCCACCAAGGCCAAGCTGCTCAGAAGGGCTGTGTGCTGGAGATGGGGTTACATGTCACAGGCTGCCTTCAAAATGTCTCTGGATATCTAGTACAGAGTTAGTTGTCCCAGGTGATGACAGCTTCACAGAGCTTTTGTTTGACCAAATGAATGCACTTACTGTGGAAAGGCAGCTGGAGGTAACCAGATAAACATTTACCTAGAGGGCTACATTTTTGAAGTTTTAATTATCATCAGATTGCATGACAGTACACTGAGCCTATTATTTCAAGGAGGTTAAGCCTACTAGCTCATCAGTTATATGAAAGGCAAGAACTCACTCAGCAAGAAAATATAATCTTAGCTACAGCCACACGCAGTGAACCTGTTTTCTTGGTCCTCCATTTCATAGCATCTCTGGAGTTTGCAGACTGCTAGTAGGCACCAGCTGCTGCTGCTTTGAATGGGACTACCTGCATCCTGTCTGTTCTCTGGAGGAATTCTGTGTGCAAATTCAAGGGCACTCTGTTCCAGAGACAGTAAATAGAGGGACAATTGCTACTCTCATTCTCTCCTCCCTGCTTTCATCACAGGATGCATCATAAGATGCACTCTTGACAGTACAAGCTTGTCTCCCTCAGGCTGCTCTGCGCTAAAGAGCTTTTGCACACTTGCACAGATCATTCAAAAAACACTAGCACTGAGTATGCAAATGATATTTTTCTGGAGAATAAATGAGTATGCAGCTGTATCTAACGCATTTACCATCAGCTAGCCAGACTTATTCTCTCTGCACACACTTCCCCATCAACGTTTTAGTCAACATCAGAAAAAATATAGTTGTTTTCTCACTAATCTTGTTGTGTTGTTATGAGAATAATTGTTAGCAGTCCACATTATCCTTTCTATTTAAAATAAAAAGACTTCAGCCTCCTTAAGTTGGCAGGAAATCACAGAAACTGAGGAATCGAAATTGGCATAACAACATAGCAAAAATGTGGGAAAAAAAGGTAATTCCTTTAGATCTCACACATATCCAAAAGAAATCTGTTGTTAAGAGTTCAGAGATTTACTTCCTTGCTTTACAGAGCAAACAGATGAGTTAATGGCTCCTTGTAGCAAGAGAAGCTTCAAGAAACTTCATACAGTCTGTTGTTAAAAAAAAAAAAGGGGGGGGGGGTTGTAACTGGGAATCAGAAGGAAAGTAAAAAAGTGATAAAAACGGCTGCATGCTGAAGATGACAGTTACACATCTTTAGGGCATTATTTTTTTTTCCCCATCGTGCTGTAGCACTTGCAATATACCATTTTCCTGAGTATTGAAGTAAAAACTAAGCACAACATCAATATGACAGAAATACTGAATATTTTATTGGAAAGGTATGCTGAAAAATATATGGGCATTGTTACAGAGTCTTCACATGTCATTAGGATATGGGGTTTTGTTTTGCCAGTTGAGCAGCAGGGAGTCTCTAGCTTGATGTTTAAAAAAAATTTAAAAAGGGGGGGAGGGTGAGGAATGGAAGAACCATAAGTAGAGTAGAAAGATGATGCGTAGATCCAGGTGCTCATGTCAGAGTAGGTCACCTAGGAACAGCTCATGATGGAGAGGTGCTGGCCTTGGTCGCCTGTACAAACTGCAGCAGTCCCCAAGCACCTGTTCACTGCATAAAATGGAAAATCTCTACCAAGAGTGAGTATCCCCATAACATTGTCCATGGACTCACAGCAGTCACCAGCCATGCACAGAGACTTCCATGCAGCATGATAACATGAAGGAGGCAGGTTCCCATCTTCAAGGGTCTTAGGCAGATCAGCAGGGATACTGAGTTTGCCTTTCAAGCACAGTCATGTGGCAAAGAAGCCTCAGCAACCTTCACCTGAAATCTCTCTGGTTAAGTATCTTGAGAATTCTCTGGAAGAATCCTCTTAAAGAATTATAGAGTGTGCCGAGTTGAAAGGGAACTACAAGAATCACCAAGTCCAAACCCTGGCTCTACACAGGATCAATCAAAATTCAAACCCTACGTCTGAGAATACTCCAATATGCCCTGGAGTTCAAATATGCCTTAAACTCCAGCAGGCTTGAGGCTTTGACCACTGCCTTAGAGAGCCTGCTCCTGTGTCCAATCAGCCTCCACTGGCAAGCTATGTCGAGCCTGATGTACCCCAGGGTACGGTTGGCTCTCCAGGCTGCCAGGGCATGCTGCTGACTCCAATTTACAGAACCAGAGAATCACAAAATGTAGCAGTAGGAAGGGACCTCTGGAGATCATCTAGTCCAACATCCCACTTCAATTTGCCTTCAATCACAATCACAGCTCCCTTTCTGTGGGGCTGCTCTCCGACCTCTCATCCCCCAGACTCCATAAACACAAAGTTACCCCATCTCAAGTGTAGAATCCAACACACTTGATAAATTAGATGTAGTTAGTGATTGCCCAACCCCCTAATTCATCAAGATCACTCTGCAAGGCCTCTTTACTCTTGGGGGAGTGAAATGTTCCTCCCAATTTTCTGTCCTCTGCAAACTTACTCAGTATACTTCTAAGTCTTATATTCAAGTCATTGATGAAAAAACTGAGCCCTGTGGAATCCCAGTAGAGGCTGACCACCAGCATTTACTTGTGACACACCACACTGTGCTTTTATTTAGCTGTACGCTGGATATTTTGACTAAGAGGATACTGTGAGAAGTCGTACCAAAAGCCTTGCAGAAATACAATCTGGCTAAATCTGCTGGCCTCTGTTGACCAGATGGGGAAAAACCTCTGCAAAAGGGTAAGTTTGTTAAGTTGTGAACCCACGTCAGCTATGACCAATGCCTGCCCTGCCTTTAAAATGCTTTTCAGTAGCTCACAAAATTGTCTCCTCCGTAACGTTACCAGGCACTGAAGTGCGACTGACAGGCCTATAAATAATTACCAGCCTCTTGCTATTGCAATTTTCAAGACATTTGGCAGCTTGCAGTCGATGGAGGTCTCTCCAAGATTCCCTAGGCTCCTTTCTTTCATCTCCAGCAGCAGCACCGACGCTCCAGAAAGCAAGCCCTTCTCGGGATCGCCTTTCTCGGGATCGCCCTTCACGACACACCGCCGCTCCGCTGCAGCAGGACCCGCTGCGGACAGCCGCCGTCCGGGCGCCATTCGGAGCCGGCAGCCCTGCCGAGGAGCGGCTCCACCCGCCGCTCCCGAGCGCGGCCCTTTCCCCGCACGGCGGCTCGGCAGCCTCAGCTCCGGGGCGGTCTTTGGGCGCTGAACCTGCGCGGAACGTGGCGGCCGCCCACGGGAGGCGCGCGGACGAACGGCGCTCGCCCCTGAGTCAGCAGCGGCGCGGCGGTGGGCGGCACGTCGCCGACGGCCCGTAGTCGCCGAGCCCTCCTGCTCTGAACCCCAGCTCCTCTGCCGCTCGCCCACGGGAGAGACGGAGGCTCACCCGGCAGCTGTCCGCCGCCGCCAGGTAGGCTGGCTGCCGTGGCCTCGGGTGTCGGCGCGGTGGGAAAAGGGGCGGCAAACGGAGCCGTGTTACAGCCCGAAGCTGCGTTCGTGTGAGCGGTGAGCGTGGTGCCGATGTTCAGAGCGTGCCGTGCTTTGTCAGAGCGCCTTAACGAGCAGCAGGGCTGAAAACTGAAGAAAATACTGCCGCTGCGATTTGCATTGTGGTTGTTTGACGGTCTCGTTCCCTCCGGCACCTTCAGGAGCCTATGGCAGGAGCAGATCAGCTTTGAACAAGTCGTATAGTTGAGGGAATAGAATGAAGCACGAGCTGGTTTTCGCTGTGGTCCTCCCTAAGCTGTTTGTGCTGTAGGAGCTCTCGTGTGCCTCACGCTTAGTACATGGCAAGATACTGATGTTGATTCCGGGTGTTAAGCTCTTCAGGGCAGGTTCACAGAACCACAGAATGGCCAGGGATGGAAGGGACCTGAAGGATCATGGATCTCCAACCCCCCTGCCACATGCGGGGCCACCAACCTCCTCATTGAATGCTAGGCTAGACTGCTAGGTTGTGTGTGTGTGTTCTGTGCTCAGCCTCACAGCTGTAGCATGTTTGCTTTGTTCAGTATTCCTGGTGTTCTGCAGGGTTTGCTGCTGAAAGTGTTATTTCATCGTTAGGCATTGTCTTCAGCCAAATCTACATCCTGAAATCCCAGGGTGGCACAAAGTTAACAGATGATGCTGTCCATACTTATTTTGCTAACTGAGGTGCTCGGCGTACTGCAGATCAGATTGTGTGTCTGAGCAGTGCACGTGTGTACAGACCAACGCTTTTCCCTTAAACACAAGGCAAAGGCAACGTAACCTGGATTTTGCATGCTTGAAGTGAATTGCAGTCATGTTCATAGCCTGTGGAGGAGGCTGTGCTCTAGCATGCTTGCCTGCTTCCAGCTTTTTCTGCAGGGAGTATTGTGTTGGAGGAGTGGCACTTCATTAAGATTTCAGTTTCCTTAATAAAAAAAAACCACCTGTAAGCATGAATCTGTTGCACAGTCATTAGTTCCCTACCAGTGAGCTATGATTCTATCAATTCCAATGATGACATTGAGTGAGGAAGTTTTGGTGATGTAAGCTATAGCTTACTTCAGTTTTGCCTTATTAGTTTTTGTTGCTGTCTTAGCAGGAAGAGATGGCTACTAAATGCAGTGGTGTGGAGATGGAAGAGTTCCAAGTCTTCTCACTGACAGGCTTCTGAACCTGCTGGTGTAACGTCCATTGGGAACAGTTCAAAACTATCCCAGCATCTGTTACACGTGGAGGCCTTCAGACCCTTTCCATCTGAACAATTGCTGTGGGCTTCTTCACATTATTTGTATTACAAATTTAGCTTATAGGTCTTTTATTAAAGCAAAGAAACAAACGAAAAAAACAACATGGTGATGCTTTTTTGCTTCTTAGTAATGCCACTGAACGCATATATTTAGTAGGAATTTGGCATTTAGAGGTTGGTCTGTGATCAAGTGCTGTACATCCAAACAATTTCCAATTTCAAGGCTGTAGAACAAGTACAGAACCACAGTAATGGATATTATACCCTTGGGGAGAAATCCTTTTTACTGTCAAGCAGTTAGCTTTCAATTTCTGTTACAATCTGTCTTTATGAACAAATTTATAATATAATTTAGCTGCAGGTACTGTTTTCCCATTTAAATGTCTGATTTTTTTCCTAGTCACCATCAGGCTCTGACTGTATTGAGTATTTTTCAAGATGATGTGAGATTGCAGTTAACAGATCTGAATTGAGTAAATCATGCTGGAGATATGAATGGAGGTATCCTGATGTCAGTTTTCAACTAGTTGGCCTTGCTGAAGAGGTGGTTTAGTGACTGTTTAGTCCTGATATGTTTTCCTGGAAGAATATCTGTTCTCTGTGTGCTTCACTAATTCTTCTGCATGTTACAAGGAGTTTCACTGGTTGATATAGATAGACCAAAACAAAAGTGCTCAGTCATTTAAGTGGAGCTGTGAAGGTTTTTATGTTGGTGGGGTGTTTGTTTGCATCAGGGTCAATTCATTTTTAAACTGAAGTCTGACAATTCTTTTTTCCATTATCTTCACGTAAGCCTATTTTCCATGCAGTCTTCTTTTTTTCTACAGACTGCACTGATGGGGTGACAGGAGTGCTATCTTTAACTGTGGGTATAGGATGATGTACTTTGGGAGAGGTAGAAATTCAGATTGCAGTTCTGCATCTTCTGACATGGCTGTTTCTAAAGAAGTGGTTTCTGATCATCTTAGTGGCTCAGAAGTCCTGTTCTTTTTTATTTTTGTTTTTATTTTTTTAAAGTTGAAGGCTAGTAGTGGATATAAAACTTAGCATAGTCATGTGGGTGAAAAGACTTTTTTCTACCTTTTTTTGACCGAGGAGTTGTAGTACTTCTTCCTTTGCTCTTCTATCAACGCACAAGCTTTCAAACCTAGAAATGGATGGACATCATTCATCTGCATTAAGTCTTTTCTTAAAAGCAGTAAAACAGGAAGGCACAAATTGAGAGAGTGTTCCTATACATCACCTCCAAGATCTTGGCTTTTCTGGCTGTGTCTTGTTGTAGCCAAGCCACCATACATGTCTGTTTTTTCTCTACACTGCAAATGATGTTATCTCAGGCAATGGATGTTAAATACTCTAATCTTGAAAGTGGTTAATTAGCTTTGTTGACAATAGCACTTGCATTGCTTGAGCCAGTCTGTCAATCTGTGAACAGCCATTGAAAGCTGTCACAAGTTAGATGGACTTAGGTAAATTGGAAGTCTGCTTTTATAATGCTGTATTGTTTCACTACAGAAAGATTACCTAAAATCCTAGTTCGTCCATTTATCTTCAAATGTCTACTTACTGTTTCTTCTGGTAGGTACTGTATTGCTAGTTGATGAAGACAATGTCAGTCACCTTCCACAAAGGTGATAGAAGCCATAAAACAGAAAGTTTGCTTTTCATTTCAAGTGAAAAGGATTCCAGAGAGCTTTTGTGTTTGTTACAGTTGGAAAGTTTAGTGCAGTAGAAAGGTGATACAACGGCAAAATGGCAAAAGGGACAAACAGGGAAAGAATGCTCACCCGTCTACAAAGATCCAGGCTCATGGGGAAAAACTCCACAAGGGAGGGATCTCTAACCAGAGATCCTTCCACAGTGGCAGTCAGCCCTTAAATGAGGTCTGAGAGAGGTGCAGCCAGGCTCCCAGGGCTGACTGGGTCCTTTCCCAAGGTGATCAACCAGTGGTTTAAACCATGACTCAACAGTTCCCATTCAGTGTTAAAACTTGAATTTTAATAAGTAGTTCGTATGTCTTTCCCAACAATGTTTGTATCATAACAAGGTATCATTTTAAAGTGAAAATATAGTAAATGTGTTAATTACAACAATTTAAATTGCACTGCAAAATAAATAACCCAATTTTTTTTTTTCCTACCCATTGTGCGGCTTTTGTTGCTTTGGATGAAGCTGTAAACTAATGTTATTTAAGACAACTCATATTTTGTGGAGCAGCCAGCCTTTAATATTTGAGGATACCAGGTATCTGCAGTTTGCTTTGATCAGCAGTATCAGATCTGATATTCTCTGTGTTGTGGGTTTCTAAGGTCAGTGTCCAGGGTTTCTATGCAGTGTATTTACAAACTTGGATCCTTCAGATCTGCAAATGCAAAGCTTTGATGTTTAGGTAGAAGCAGTGTTACAAGAAGAGTTTGTTTTTAAGTGTTAGATATTAAATAGCACTGTTACTGCTATTTTAGGTGGTTCTATTAAATAGCAGTATTACTATTTAATAGACATCTGCAAAGGGTCACGTATTAGGAGTGGTATCTCCTAAATCCTAGATAATGAATTAAAATGGGGCCATGACTTTGTCCCATGAAGTTCTCCTTAAAATAAATAAATAAAAGTAATATTTCAGGTATTTAATGTTAGTCTGTGTGTCTTGTAGATTCAATCTGTCGGATTTTCTCTGCAGCAATCAGAGAAGGAAACCTTTTATCTGCTAAAGGTTGAGATTTCTCAGTAGTTACTGTAGTTCAGGAAATGGCACTTAAAGAAAAAAATAGGAAAATACTGAGAACTGCAATACCATCGTGGTTTGAACTTTTTATTTACTTTTGCCCCTTTTTATTTACTTTTGAGGGCTTCTACTCTCAGTATAGGAAAAAAAAAATACTCCTAGATTCAAGCTGATGTAGAAGCAAATTTTTTAGTTTTAGTAGATGACTAGTATGGTCATTTTTGACCCTGAACAGGTGCAAAATCATTCTTGTTCTGTGCTTTTATCAGTTATTCTGTCTTAAACTGCCTGAGTATCTTTCTTCTCCTTATACATAGGTTGCTCCAAAAGTACTGCCTCCTATATATTTCCATGAAAATATATGGAAAGTACTACAAAGAGCACAGTAACACTACTTGATAGAGCAAATTCTCAGCTGCAAAGCACTATTTTTCAACGTAGTTATCACCATTAGATATGTGTTTGCTCCAGCGATGACCTAGAGCCTGTGTGCCACTTGTAAATACCTGCCATCCAGAGTGTGGTTTATATTTCACATTGATGTCACCACTGCTGAAATGCTCCACCCACCACCTCACTGTGCTTACATCCACTGCTTGGTCTCCATCAACGTTCAGCAAGCACCATGGTATGTCAGTGGGTGCCATTTTATTCCACATAAAGAAATTCAGTGACAAGCTTTTGCTTCATGTGCACTTCTAGACCAAACACCATTCTGCCAGATCGCCCCCCTGCTGCCATCTGTTGCAAAGCAAGCAAGTGTCATGGAATGCTGACAGGAAGATTCAACCTCTACTGCCGTACTGCCAGCATCTGCCTCTGATGCCATGGGCCAACATAATAAAATGGGAGGCGTTAGTTTCCAAGCAGTCCTCATAGTTCATTAAAGTTTCCCTGAATGTTTTAATGCTCACCTGGAAATGGTACCTCAGAGTTGGACTGTGCTGTGCGCTGTTGCTAGCTTTATTTC